GATGTCGATGTGACATCGTATTAGAGGAGACTAAATTCATGTGTTGAATAAGAGAGCAGAGTATTCATAAAGTGATAGATCTAAGCTAGGCTTATGATATGTTTGAGAGGTTCATGATGTTCAGAAGGTTATAGAACTAATCAAGTAATAAGTAATAGCATAGTAGGCGAGCAATCATATTGATATTCGGGTTTAGTAATGAATGTTAAGCTTGAATTTGAGATGAGTGTCATGATCCAAAGAATGGAAACATGAGGATGATGATGTTAGTCTTGAGGTCTGATCTAGAAGACTTGACATAGAGTAGGTGAGGAATTGAGTTGTTAGCTGCAATAAATATGAGTGGTACAAGTGAGAGACTCTAACCTTTAGATAAGGGCAGTGAAGTGTGGCTAAGTCACAAGAGTAACAAGAGAATTTAGGCGGTGTACCAAGAAGGTATGTAATCAGAAGATGTTAAGAGAAGCACCTTAGAAAGAGGTCTTAGTACATGTTTATGGAGAGTTGGTAGTCATGAGATAAGCTTCTCCCGAGTGTTAGAGTAAAAGAGAATGTAGACCAGGTTAGAGATGATGGAATAGGTCCATAGCTTTCGAGTGTCAACTTTAGACCTAAGGGTGAGATGTCAAAATGAGAAATCAAGTCAAGTGTTTGAGAGTAAGATAGTAATGAGTTCCAAAGAGTTTGGGGGATATCTTTTTAGAGGTCCTTTTAGTACTGGAGTGATGTTAGAAACAAGAGGTTGATGATCTTATAGTGATAGTGATGGTGTGATAATTTCATCTAAAGTTATAAATGAAGAGGAAGAGAAAGATGAGGTCTTACTATGAGAAATAGTTAAATGAGAGCCCTTAGTTGGTTCCTAAGGAGTTATTTAGTAGGAGTCCATGGAGTTGTTAGAGTACTAAGCTTGAATGTGGTGTTGTTAAACATTAGATGGTTCTGGATATGAGCCCAATGTGGTGGTAAAGAGTAATAGTCCTAGGATGAGATTATCTATTGAGGTTTAGAAACTGAACCTAAGGATTTGGGTTAAGCTTGAGTATAGTGAAAGCATACCATTAGAATTAGACCTTGGTAAGAGTAACCCCATTCCATACCCAGTCCAGTCGTCATTAGAGGACGAATGAACCCAAGGGGGAGATATTGTAACACCCCAGAAATTTTTTGAACTAAAACTCGAACCATCCTTCGTAGTGAGTGAGTTTTTACCAAGGAATTTAAATTTTTTATAAGTTTTAAGGTCACTAGATGTAGAACCTTGAGTTCCCAGAAGAATTAGAGAGAATTCATTGAAGTCATTCCTAAGCTCTTCTATGTTTTAGGTCAACTTCAAACGAACATAACTTTTAGTACAGGATGAGTTAGGTGGGTTACAAGGTACCCAATGAAAGGTATTTGAATTATATTTCCAACGCAGCCAAGTTTGATAACTTTCGAGTTTGGATGAGTGAGATATGCCCTTTTGAAGTCAGGCTGTCAAATTAAGGAAAGTTACCCAAAAATAGTAAGGGGTATTTTGGTCTTTTCCTTACCCAATCAGATTTAATTCACTTTTAGTAATATTTTTAGGGGTCTAATCTTATTAGGTTCAGTTTTATAATCCTAATATACGCCTAGGGTTTTAGTTGGGAGTTCAAGAAGAGAAAAGAAGAGAAAAAAGGAGAAAAAAAGGAAGAGGATCAAGCGTTCGTCGAGATTCTTCCGTGTTGTTGCGGATTTTCGCCATGGGTTTAATCCATAAGAGGTATGTAAGCTTTCATAGCTTTGGTATAGTTCACCCACATACCAATCATGTTATTTTCAGTGAAATTTCATTCTTGAAGTTGAAAGATTAGAGTTCTTGATGAGTTCTTGAATTTAATTCTAAATCTTGTTGTGTTGGGGTTTTGATGATTTCTTGAGATGAAATTTAGTGATTTTAGTGTTGTTTTGAGTATATTAGAGTGTAATTATGTTAAGTAATCGAATCCAAGTGATTGGGGAAGAAATCGTTCGATTATAGGCGAGTTAGGGTGAGAAAACGAGAAAAGAAAGTCGTCGAAGTTTTTTGGGTTGGGGTCTGGGCCCCCACGCCAACCAGAGCACCCCAACCATTTCTCTGAAGTTTAGGTGCTGGTGCCCCGCGCCACTAAGAGTACCAAGCTCGCCTGCCTCCACCCGTTCTTCATCGTTTCTTCCTTTTGAGTTCTTTCAAAGGGTACCTTTACTGTGAAAGCCGTTTGACTGTAAGGAAATGAGCTCTAAGTTGGAATTCAATAGTGACAGAAGTGGTCATCTGTGCTCCACAGCTACTGGTGTCATCACCCTGCAAAGAGGTGGAACCAACCAAGACTGAACACTAGCCCCATTTTGTAGACGGGTTGGGACCGGCCTTCTATCCCGGTGAACAATGTTCCACTGATTAGGCGGGGACAGGATTCGAACCTGCAATCTTCAGGTCATGAGCCTGATGAGTTGACCAATTCCTCTACCCCGCTTCTTCCCCTTCTCTTTCGAACTCCGAAAACCAAGGTTCGACTTGCATGTGTTAAGCATATAGTCTGAGTAGCATGATGTTCACTTCTTAGCGCTTAGGCCACTACCTAAAAGTAAGCTTTTCGCTCTTTTCCTCTTACATAACAACGATGGAGGAGATAGTAAGCACGACTTTCTACGCAACGATTTCTTCTTCTCTTATGATTTCTCAAGTTACAGGGGGGAGACCAAGAGAGTAGATTGGCTGGTTTTTCCAGTCAAGTATAGTTGATAATCCCATTTTCGAATATGAATTTGAATAGATTCTCTTTATTATTATAAATATAGCTTTTTTATCTTCCACCCTATCCCTTTGAGATTATATTTCTAATCATGGGAATATTACATGTTACCCATGAAGTCATTGATTTGAGTTGTTCGTGCCCATAATTCTGCATGAACCCTATAAGTCGAACAGTCTTGAGATGAGAAGTATCTTTGAGTCCTCAAGTTGAGTAGTTCATTCTCATAATTCCGCATGAAACCTCTGAGTTGAGCATTTTTTAAATGAGTAGTATCATTGAAGTTCTTGAGTTCCACGTATTGAGTTCTATCTATGGTTATTGAAAACCTTGTATTGAGTCGTTCACATCCATAAGTCGACATGAACCATATTTTAAGAAGTCTTTTACAAATGTTTTAAACTTGTTTAAAGACTTGAGCATTGAGTTGAGTAAGGGTAAATGTGAAGTTCAGTTTCTTCAAAAGATTATATGGGAACTAAGTATTCCTAAAGAGTAAATGTTTTCACATTTAAATAAGAGAGGAAACACTGATTTCCAAGAGACCCTTTGAGCTAGTTTTGAGTAATTATCTCAAATCACAGAAAGAGTTTTGTTTTTAAAACATATGAGTTGAGTATATTTTGGGAGTAGTATTGAGCACCGATATGGGGACGCGAGTTCATAATAACTCAAGTCTCCATAAACCATGTAATCATCATGGGTAGAAAGAATCACACTTTTTAGATGATTCCTTGGTGATATTTAGTATAGACTAGTGGATCCACTTAGTTAAGGCCTCCTATATGACGGTAAAGTATAGAACAATTTTGGCAGCGTGGGCAAGACATTGTATCATCACTTAGGCCCATAGTGATGGTTGTCGGTTAGAAAAACTCCTAGAAAGTTGTATTATATTTTATAATATATAAATTGAGTTGTTATTGTACTCTTCAATACACTGAGTTATTTTCTATTGTTTTAAAGGTTTTCTATATATTAAATCTTTTACTACTGCTTTATCCTTGAGTATCTTGAGTCGATCTGTGCTTCATTGTGTCGAGTACCTTATTGTTGAGTTTCACTGAGTTGAGAACCTTATTGCTGAATTGAGTATCGTATCCTTGAGTACTTCTGAGTTGAGTAAGCTTGAGTAGTTTTGAGTATCCTTGAGTATTCCTTGAGTTGAGTAAGTTTGAAAAGAGGTAAGGTAAGTATGTTTCCTTTTATCAAGTTCAAGCTTATGTTATGATTTAGAATTCCCCTAGCATGCTTGTACATTCCACATACTGAGCCATTTGGCCTGTATCCTTTCATGATGCAAATTCAGGTATTCGGGATCATCAACAGGAGCTTCGTTCGATACCACATGGAGTTTCGAGTTAACTATGGTGAGCCTCCTTGCTTCCGGAGGATTTCATTTACTTTTTCAGTTTTGTCAAGATGTCTTGAGTTTTGTCTCGACTTCCATCTTTGTCATTTTGAGGCTTCATAGATAGACAGTAGAGTTTTCGAAGTTTGTTTCATTTATCTTATTCAATGTTTTAAAGACTTGAGTTGCCTATTGTTGTCTAGTTGAATATTCCATTTTTATTCAGAGTTACTCATTTGAGTTAAAGATTTGTAAGTTTCATGAATTTTATTCAGTTTTTAAGCTTTTGCATGTTTGAGTTAGTCTTCCGCTTGTAGTCAGCCATGATGAGGGTTCGCTTGGGGACCAACAATGGTCTTCGAGTGTACCCTCTTGTGGACTGTGGTATACACTTCAGAGATGGAACACCTTTTGCTGCGAACATGAGAAATGATTTTCAGAGGTTTCATTTTACTCCTACCATCGCATTGGTAAATGATTAGTTTGACTGAACATTATGTGTATTGTGCATCTTTTAACTCATTGCAAAAATTTAACCATTCGAGAGTTCACTATGCATAAAGATTGAAATGAACAATATGTAGAATATATATGCTAATTTTCATACTTAATATCCACTCTACTTCAGAAACAATTGTTCTAAACTAACATTACTAGATGCAAAGAACTTGAAAACATAATTATCCAAGAGGTTACCTATCAACTTGACAATCTCTTGCTAGAATTACAGCATGATCATAAATCTAATTCCATATTCTCCTTACCTGTGAAATCCTATCCAACAACTTCTTGAATAATTATGTTTTCAAGTTCTTTGCATCCAGTAATGTTAGTTTAGAACAATTGTTTCTGAAGTAGAGTGGATATTAAGTATGAAGACTAGCATATAAATTCCACATACTGTTTATTTCAATCTTTTGATTTCATTTAATGCAAAATTGGATCAGTATACACGAATTTCTTTGCTTGTTTTAACTATCTGTCCTGTTATAGGGGCCAGCCGGCTGATTCATCACCTTCATGAAAATGGGATACCAATTTGTGTTGCTACAGGGTATGTCATCTTCTTTTAGTTTTGTTCACCAGGAAGTTTACCATTTGTGGCATAATTAGTATAGCAAGTAGAAGTGTTAGAATTATCATATGCTAAGATAATGTTTAAAAAGTAAGATTCAAAAAGTGAACTAATATAAATGCATTTTTCAGTACACACACGCGGCACTTTGATTTGAAAACTCAAAGACACAGCGAACTTTTTTCACTAATGCATCATATCGTTCGTGGTGATGATCCAGAAGTTAAACAAGGGAAGCCATCACCTGATATATTCCTTGCAGCTGCAAACAGATTTGAGGTGATTCTCTGATTTTTGTTTCTCTAGATTGGTATATCCTGAGAGATCTCGCAGCTATGATGCTTAACCTTCTCTTGGTGAATCTTCTATTACATAGACCTCCCTTAGTATTGTCTAACTGATAATTTACCTACTAGACTTTTCAGATATGTCTGTTTCTGTTGGCTTGGTTCTTATATCAAACTTCAAATAATGTTATTTTTTAGAAATAGAAATTTTGCACTGTGAGCTGTTTACGGTGATGCAGTGATCAAACACGTTAGTCATCTTTAATTGTTAGCTTCCAAATGAAAAAAGTGAAGTCAATGATATTTGTTAAGATGTTGCATTGTTTTGCCATCTCAGAAGTTAAATTTATAAATCTGACTCGCTCATATCAATCCAATCCTCCTCCTCTGCATGTTATACAGTTGTCTTGCCATCTTCAACTTCAACTAATTACGGTGCTGCACAATATTGTAATGTATCAGCAAAAATAGTATAAAAAAGTTCTATATACAAATATACATTTATGTGATGTAGTTTGACTTGATATGGAGGTTAAGAAAGAAAGACTTTCGAAATTTGTGGTCTAAAATTAGTAATAGATGTTTGTGTGGCTATAAATCATTTCATTAAGGATAAAGTGGACATTTTCTAGTTAAATTCTAATTGAATATAGAAATTTGTCATTCTTTTTGCGACCGACTGAAATGGAAAGTGAGTCATATAAATTGGGACATAGGGAGTATGATACCCCTTCCTTGCTCCATTTCCCAATATAACCTAATTAAGTGAGCGTCAGCATCAAGGCACACAGAGTTGTGTCGGAAAACTGTTAAGCCTAACCCATCTAGAGTCACCGGAACTTGTATTTTCCGGACATTGATGTCAGCGAGGTCCGGTTCACAAGATTAATTTTCTACCCTTCCATCTCACCAATCTTAACCCTGGCAACTTCTATATCAGATGGAAATTCCAAAAGAAATATTTCATTGATCATTTCAACAATCCCAAGCTTTGATGCTCCCAGCTTCTTCTGGCCAAGATATAGTCACTTGTGTTCAACTTCATCTCTGGTTTCCCTTCTACATTTTCTGTTAAGCATGTGAATATGTACTTTTTACTCCATCTACCTTCAATACCATATCTTCATTATCAACCTCACGAGTCTGTATACTCCCGTTTTCAGCAAACCTCCGAATCTTTCAAGCTATGTCAACCCATCCGTCGTTATCCTTGAACACAGAGACTATTATTTGTCTTTTCCTCCTTCCATGGACTGTCACTATCTTTATGTATCTATCCTTATGTATATAAAAGTTTATCCAAAGTTATGTTTGAACAAAATGTGTTTTGATTATTCAAAACTCAACATGGAGACTTTGTGGGATAGACGGTGTATTTAAAAGAGAAAAATCTGGTTCCCATGTGATTTTTATATGGTATAGTATGTTTTTGAAGTTCTCTTTTTAGGAAGGACACTATTTTGGGATAAACTAAAATTGGAAGGTGGGCATTCAAATTGAAGCGGAGAGTATATAACATCTAAAATTTCTAGGACGTTTTACTACATAAAGGCAAAATCTGTACTACTTTTTCTGAATGTACAAGCCTTTAGGGAAAAATAATGTAAGTTAACACTATTTTGGTTACCAAATCTGAGAAAGTTAGGTGTAGTTTGTAAAACTAGAATGGAGATCCTTCAGATAATGGAACAGTAGATACATGGTCAGTTTAAGTAGTCAATTATGACATATCATGGATGCCTATGAGCTGTATTCTTTGTGTTTTATATGGACAGGGTGGACCAGTAGATCCACAGATAATTCTTGTATTTGAAGATGCGCCCTCTGGTGTCCTTGCAGCCAAGAATGCTGGAATGTAAGTCTATCACCAAGAATTTTAATGTCTGGTGATAATTTTTTGATTTTCTTCTAATAGAATAACTTGAGAGAACTACATGATTACTTTCGAACCAAGTGCCTCTTTGGTTGAGTGAAATTGCACTTAATAGAACTTCATTTTCCATGATTTTAAGGAGTTTAGATACCAAGTCTCCTTGTACTTTCCAGTAAATGCTTGCACAACTACATATCTTTTATTTTGTTTTTTTCACTGTATGGTTTTTTGTCTTAGTTATTACTATAAATATTTTGCTCTCCAACAGCAGTCTTATGTAGTTGACATCCTATGCAAAAGGTTACACTGATTGGTGTCAACATGTAAATAGTATGCCTTTAATATTTCATCTAAATTTATGTCTCAACAATTTGGCACTCATTAGTTGATTAACTCACAGGTGTTGTAAATCTCTTGAAGATGACATCTAGTAATTGAGAAAACAAGAAGATTTTGGTCTGGCTCTTGGTCTCAGAGCACACTTCAGGATCTTGCTTTCTTCTTCCTCCTATTTTGGGGTTTTGTCTTGACTTTCAAGAATCTCTTTCAACCTATCAACATTGCAAGTTCTTCCTGTTCTAATTTTCTGTCCGATTTATAATCTTCTTTCGGGATCATTCGATAATCTAAAAGATACATATTATTGTTCTGTCCTCAACTTGCCTCAGTTTGCTACTTTATCAGGACCCTGAATTTTCTATGGCACCCACACAAACACCTAGTTTTGCCTGTGATGGATAGACGATATTCCTTGTTTGGGTCCTTACATATGCAGACCTAAATCTCTTGCTAGTAGTGATCATTAGAGTCCTTGTAACATGGTTTCTTTTTGGTGTTTGCTCTGGTTTCTTGTGTTTTCCTAATAGTTTTCCTGCTTTGTCCAATATGAGGCTATGTTTTTTCCTTAAATTAATTTCTTCAGATGTGTTCAGTCTGGAATGTTAGCCGTTATCATGAGTTTTGAACTTCCTCATTTTTGTTTGCATCTATTATTACTGCATTTTTGGGTCTTATGAGGGATGATTACACCAATAACATGCTTTAGCTACTAAAATCCCCAAAGTTCTGTTCGTTGATAAGGGTTTCTTCCGGTAGATGTAACAACGTATGCCAAGTGGGTCCTGAAGTGGCATTATGATTTCCATTGTCATTGATATAGAAGATCACCTGGTTGCATTTTGGTCTCTTTTACCCCCCATCTATTGCATTAATGTTCTTATGAGAAAAGTGAAGATTCAGATATACAGTCGTCATAGGAAAATGTATAAAGCTCTGATTGCGCTATCATCTATTGACTTGGGATTTATGTTACTGCATGCAGGTCAGTAGTAATGGTTCCAGATGCAAGGTTGGATAGTTCATATCATCAAGTTGCTGATCAGGTTTTGAATTCTTTACTTGATTTCAGCCCAGACGATTGGGGATTGCCTCCATTAGAAAATGCATCAACAAACTCAATTAGTTTAGTTTGATCACGATTCTTAAGTTCCCAAACAGAGCCTATTATGAGTTCAAAATTCGGATTTTTGGGGTTCGCCTCTAGTTGGTTATTCATAGAATATTCAGCTTTATGTTGAAATGAAGAAACTGAGGATTTCGTTGTATTGCAACTCGTGTAAGCCCGCATGATATGGTAAACTCCATTCTCCAATCTCAAGTCTCCAATCCCAGCAGGCAAGTGGCCCTTTTTACCTAGTAGGTTATCTCTCCCTTGTCATATGGAGTTGCATGTCAAAAGTCATAAATGCAGTTCTGTACATTTTATTTGTTGAAAATCAATTTTAAAAAATGGCAGTCATGTCGTTGTCGGAACGGCTAGGAAACTGGTTTGACTCATATCAAGTTTTCAACTCATTTCGAACGTTTCAAATGAAATCGAAATGCTATTTTACTAGTATTGGTATTCCTCATCTCAGTTTGACATTCCAAGGAATTGCACAAGTTAATTAACTTGATGACATCCAAAGTGAAATTGGATTGGTTTCTGAAAATGAATTACTAGCAATTCTTTTTGCTAGGGTAAAAACGTGCACTTAATGATTATTTAATAATCTGAAATAAGCACTTTCCTTTTATCCATGTTGCTAGGTTGTGGTAATTGAAATAATGACTTCACTTTCCTTCAATTTTCTCATGTTTGGTTGGGTTAAATGTTTTGGAAAATGTTTTCCAAATCAACTCATTTTCCTCAAATTTAAGGAAAATGACTTCCCTTCAAAATTTAAGAAAAACATTTTCCAAAACTCTCTTCCAACTTCAAAATTTAAATTTGTTTTTAAAAAAAATTTTCAATTCAAA